TTCTCTATAAGTTATCTAAGATCAATGTCCAAGGAAAGTTTTATAGTCTAATTAAGAGTCTATACTCGAAGTCTACCTGCTCTGTCAGGATTGGAAATAACAAAACACGATCTTTTCAATACGCAAGAGGAGTGCGGCAAGGCTGCATTTTAAGCCCTCTGCTCTTTAACTTATACCTTAACGATCTAGCGTTCTCATTTGACAATGTTTTATCAGACCCCTTCGTGTTACCAAATGGCACCAGACTCAACTCTCTCCTTTACGCAGATGACTTGATAATATTATCGCGATCCAAACTTGGTCTACAAAACTGCCTTAACGTACTATCTTCATATTGCAACTCATGGATGCTTAGAATAAATCCTAAGAAAACCAAAATAATGATTTTTCAACGATGCACACGAAAATGTGAACATAACTTCCGCATAGGCAATGAAGTAATCGACGTTGTCCAAAACTATACTTACTTAGGAACTCGCATTACATCTTCCGGAAATTTTACACTTTCGCTTGAACATCTCCGACAAAAAGCTCTTCACGCGCTCTTCAGCCTCAGGCGGCACACGGATTTGAATAATCTTAAGCCCTCACTTGCGTGTAAAATTTTTGACTCTATGATTTCACCAATTCTAACCTACAACAGTGAAGTTTGGGGTGCTTTTGTTAAATCAGATTTTAAGTCCTGGGACAGCTCTGCAATTGAAAAAACCCATTTGCAATTCTGTAAACGTTATTTACAAGTACATAACAAGGCATCCAACATTGCTTGTAGAGCTGAACTCGGTAAATTTCCCATGATCATTGATATAAATAAAAAGATTCTAAATTACTTAGACTATCTGAGAGGTAAAGATGAAGATTCTATAGTTAAACAGGCCTTACAAATTTCAATTGACCTTCATCATAACGGAAAAACTAGCTTTTACTCTAATCTCATGAAAATGGTTGACTACTATGATCTAAACTATGACTTTTCCTGTAATTCATTGAGTGACTCAATTGTTAATAGGTATATCAGCATAATGAAAAATAAATACGTCTCTTACTGGAATCAGACCCTTCAACAATCACAAAAACTCAGTTTTTATTGTACAATCAAAGACGACTATAGCCCCTCGCCGTACCTAGTTTTAACAAGAAAAAACCCTTCGAGAAAAGCATTAGTTAGATTTAGAATAAGTAGTCATCAACTTAGAATTGAAACAGGTAGATGCGAAAACATTCCTCGCAATGAAAGGATATGTCACTTTTGTACAAGTAACAAAATCGAAGATGAAAATCATTTCTTACTAGATTGTAAGGCTTATTCTCAGATCAGAGACATATTTTTCTCCAAACTAGAAACTAAAATACCTGACTTCAAATCACTTTCACACGATACTTTAATATCTCTTCTTATGAATTCCTCTGATTATTTAATTAACTGTCAATTAGTTTCATTTATCTCGCAATGCTTTGAATTAAGAACCAAATTAATATCAATGAATGAATGAATGAGAACTGTGACGTTTTGTAATGTTTTGCACGTACTAATTAGTTGAATTAGTACTTAAATTTAGACTAATAGCTTTTGCAATACTGTAATTCCTTTATGGTCATGCAAATAAAGCTTTTGGTGTTGTTGTTGTTGTTGACTAGACAACCAAGCGCCATTGTTCCATGTAAACTTGGCACCGCGTCAGAAACTAACAGTCAAGCCAGAAAGTATAAATTTTTGTCACAAAGACAACTGCAAAGGCTGATAAAACAACGTGAAGTAGTGTGACGGTAGTAACAATATTTTGACTGGCGTACCCGCAAGATTCTTTCAGTAGACCTGTACCGTTCTAAACCTCTTATTTCACTAGTCCCCTTTAATCTGCACTTCCATTGTTTTCACGGATAGGGGCGATTCTTTTAATAAAATGATCATTTGAAAGTTGAATCTGGTAATAGTTGTACATTTCAAATTCATCTCTGCATTCCAGCATACAATATTTTTGAGAAAAGGTAGGAGAGTTTTAATTTTTGTAGACAAGTTTCAGATGAACAACATCCATGGTCAGTACACTCTAGAAGTGGGTGTGATAGTGGAGGTACGCTTGACCTGGCTCACCCGTAATAGTATTGTTTTTGTTTCTGTTTCCTTTTCCGCAAATATATGCGGGACGGTACGCATCAGGGCGCATGCATATGGTTGATTATGCTAACAATCTCTCGTCGCAAACAAGGTGACTCCGTTGTTATTACAAGCGCATTGAACTATGACAAACTTGTTTGCGTCATAATGAATCCAAAACACGTCCCAGAATCTAAAATTGTTTTGGATTCTTGTGTGTGGTTTTGTTTTCTGGGATGTGTTTTGGATTCTGGGACGTGTTTTGGATCTTGAAGTAGGCTATGCATGTTTAATAAAAACCCACTGGCTTTTGGAAACAGGACGGCGATGAATGGATGCTTTGATATTACTAACTCATGCGCAAGTGTATATTATGTATAAAGTCAGTGATAATCGGAATCGAATAACACCAATTTAAGAACATGTTATCGACTTCCACAGACTGTCTTGCAGATCGATGTTTGAAAGGCGATTCAAACGGTAAGTTCCTGGGATAATTCCCACTTTTCAATTCTCCGTCGATAGTATCCAACAGTTCGCGCAATGCGTTAACAACTTAGGGTTCAGTCATCTTCAAATAGAACAACCTTGGCGGGGTATTTTAAGAAAGCTTTTTTCTTTTTCTCAAACATCTCTTCCTTCTATCACATCAAAAACCAATACTNACGGAAAAACTAGCTTTTACTCTAATCTCATGAAAATGGTTGACTACTATGATCTAAACTATGACTTTTCCTGTAATTCATTGAGTGACTCAATTGTTAATAGGTATATCAGCATAATGAAAAATAAATACGTCTCTTACTGGAATCAGACCCTTCAACAATCACAAAAACTCAGTTTTTATTGTACAATCAAAGACGACTATAGCCCCTCGCCGTACCTAGTTTTAACAAGAAAAAACCCTTCGAGAAAAGCATTAGTTAGATTTAGAATAAGTAGTCATCAACTTAGAATTGAAACAGGTAGATGCGAAAACATTCCTCGCAATGAAAGGATATGTCACTTTTGTACAAGTAACAAAATCGAAGATGAAAATCATTTCTTACTAGATTGTAAGGCTTATTCTCAGATCAGAGACATATTTTTCTCCAAACTAGAAACTAAAATACCTGACTTCAAATCACTTTCACACGATACTTTAATATCTCTTCTTATGAATTCCTCTGATTATTTAATTAACTGTCAATTAGTTTCATTTATCTCGCAATGCTTTGAATTAAGAACCAAATTAATATCAATGAATGAATGAATGAGAACTGTGACGTTTTGTAATGTTTTGCACGTACTAATTAGTTGAATTAGTACTTAAATTTAGACTAATAGCTTTTGCAATACTGTAATTCCTTTATGGTCATGCAAATAAAGCTTTTGGTGTTGTTGTTGTTGTTGACTAGACAACCAAGCGCCATTGTTCCATGTAAACTTGGCACCGCGTCAGAAACTAACAGTCAAGCCAGAAAGTATAAATTTTTGTCACAAAGACAACTGCAAAGGCTGATAAAACAACGTGAAGTAGTGTGACGGTAGTAACAATATTTTGACTGGCGTACCCGCAAGATTCTTTCAGTAGACCTGTACCGTTCTAAACCTCTTATTTCACTAGTCCCCTTTAATCTGCACTTCCATTGTTTTCACGGATAGGGGCGATTCTTTTAATAAAATGATCATTTGAAAGTTGAATCTGGTAATAGTTGTACATTTCAAATTCATCTCTGCATTCCAGCATACAATATTTTTGAGAAAAGGTAGGAGAGTTTTAATTTTTGTAGACAAGTTTCAGATGAACAACATCCATGGTCAGTACACTCTAGAAGTGGGTGTGATAGTGGAGGTACGCTTGACCTGGCTCACCCGTAATAGTATTGTTTTTGTTTCTGTTTCCTTTTCCGCAAATATATGCGGGACGGTACGCATCAGGGCGCATGCATATGGTTGATTATGCTAACAATCTCTCGTCGCAAACAAGGTGACTCCGTTGTTATTACAAGCGCATTGAACTATGACAAACTTGTTTGCGTCATAATGAATCCAAAACACGTCCCAGAATCTAAAATTGTTTTGGATTCTTGTGTGTGGTTTTGTTTTCTGGGATGTGTTTTGGATTCTGGGACGTGTTTTGGATCTTGAAGTAGGCTATGCATGTTTAATAAAAACCCACTGGCTTTTGGAAACAGGACGGCGATGAATGGATGCTTTGATATTACTAACTCATGCGCAAGTGTATATTATGTATAAAGTCAGTGATAATCGGAATCGAATAACACCAATTTAAGAACATGTTATCGACTTCCACAGACTGTCTTGCAGATCGATGTTTGAAAGGCGATTCAAACGGTAAGTTCCTGGGATAATTCCCACTTTTCAATTCTCCGTCGATAGTATCCAACAGTTCGCGCAATGCGTTAACAACTTAGGGTTCAGTCATCTTCAAATAGAACAACCTTGGCGGGGTATTTTAAGAAAGCTTTTTTCTTTTTCTCAAACATCTCTTCCTTCTATCACATCAAAAACCAATACTTAAAGTCCGTGTATATCTCTGCTCATCTTCAAGGGAAATAAATCGATTTTAGAGGCTAAAAACCAGGACAGACGAAAAGCCTAGGAGATTAAAATCAGTTTTGCAACTTCAGGTTGTTCGAATGCTGCTCCCTAGTTCAGTTTCTAAAGCTGCTCCGACCTATAACACAGTCCTTGAGCAAATTATAACCACTTTGAGTTTCAAGTGCTTTTATTACGCTTTAACCGACGATTACAAACTATCTAATACGTAAAGCAATACTTCCTTCCTCTGAAATAACTACCCGACCAAGAGTGTC